AGTGTGCCTTCAATTTTGAATAAATCCCCAACAGTGTCACCAGCAAAACACCCCCACACCATCACACCTCCTCCTCCATGCTTCACAGTGGGAACCAGGCATGTGGAATCCATCCGTTCACCTTTTCTGCGTCTCACAAAGACACGGTGGTTGGAACCAAAGATCTCAAATTTGGACTCATCAGACCAAAGCACAGATTTTCACTGGTCTAACGTCCATTCCTTGTGTTTCTTGGCCCAAACAAATCTCTTCTGCTTGTTGCCTCTCCTTAGCAGTGGTTTCCTAGCAGCTATTTGACCATGAAGGCCTGATTCGCGCAGTCTCCTCTTAACAGTTGTTCTAGAGATGGGTCTGCTGCTAGAACTCTGTGTGGCATTCATCTGGTCTCTGATCTGAGCTGCTGTTAACTTGCGATTTCTGAGGCTGGTGACTCGGATGAGCTTATCCTCAGAAGCAGAGGTGACTCTTGGTCTTCCTTTCCTGGGTCGGTCCTCATGTGTGCCAGTTTCGTGGTAGCGCTTGATGGTTTTTGCGACTCCACTTGGGGACACATTTAAAGTTTTTGCAATTTTCCGGACTGACTGACCTTCATTTCTTAAAGTAATGATGGCCACTCGTTTTTCTTTAGTTAGCTGATTGGTTCTTGCCATAATATGAATTTTAACAGTTGTCCAATAGGGCTGTCGGCTGTGTATTAACCTGACTTCTGCACAACACAACTGATGGTCCCAACCCCATTGATAAAGCAAGAAATTCCACTAATTAACCCTGATAAGGCACACCTGTGAAGTGGAAACCATTTCAGGTGACTACCTCTTGAAGCTCATGGAGAGAATGCCAAGAGTGTGCAAAGCAGTAATCAGAGCAAAGGGTGGCTATTTTGAAGAAACTAGAATATAAAACATGTTTTCAGTTATTTCACCTTTTTTTGTTAAGTACATAACTCCACATGTGTTCATTCATAGTTTTGATGCCTTCAGTGAGAATCTACAATGTAAATAGTCATGAAAATAAAGAAAACGCATTGAATGAGAAGGTGTGTCCAAACTTTTGGCCTGTACTGTACATTGATAGAGCGAACATGCTGTGAGTGGTTGCTCCTTGTCAGGCAGCTGCCAGCTGCAGTCCTCTCACTCAACGCTGGACCAGTTTCAAAAACTGTTGTTTCCATCAGTTACTTGGTTTTGAGTTTTCTAGTTTTCTATGACTACATCAATTTAAGTTTCTGTTTATATCACTAACTTGCACATTCTTTGTTGATTCCGGAGGCTAAAATAAGAAGTTCGTCTTGATTGAAGTGTCTTTTTTCTGTAAACCACAGCACTGGTCATGATCTCCAGAAACTAAAACCTTTCCAAAACATTCTAACCCGTTTTCTGTTCAGATTTGGCAGTCTGAGAATACTTCATGTGGAATTTGTTTATAATAAATCATCACTGCTTTGAGAACATTTCGACCTCTCCTTCGTGCCCTCCCATGTTGCAGATGACCGGTCGGAGGTGGACGGATCAGTGGTTTCCATGGTTTCGGCCACTTCCTCCTCCAGCCGATTGCTCCCTCCAAAGGAGCGCCTGAGAGAGAAGGCTTTCCAGTACTGCCAGCGCCTCATCGAACAGAGCGATCGCAGTGAGTCAGCGTGTGTGTGTGTGTGTGTGTGTTAAACTGTGCAGTGTGTGTGAGAGAGAAGCAAGTCATGTAGTTGTAAATCCAGAATTTGAACTAAATAAATGTTATGTTTTTTGTGATATGTGTTCTTCTCTTTGTCTCAGAGGCACTAAAAAGGACAGACACAGACCTGCAGAAAGCGGTGAGCCCGTGTATCATATATTAACAGTATCTTACAGATCCTCATAGTCCTATCCATTTTTCCTGCAATAATAACAGTCAGTAGTGTAACATTGTGTAGTGTGTAAAGAGCACTTTGATTGGGAGGAATATTGTACTAATTTAGTGAACACCTACACATGTAACGGCTGAAATTCATGTCACTTATCTGAGAGTAAAAAGCCACTATGGAAATGGCTGACTAGAAACATTCAGTAAAACTAGAATAAACAGATGAGACTTTTTGGAGGAGGATAAAAAAAAAAAAAAAAAAAAGAAACACAGTGCTCACATTTTTCTTATAATCCGAGCAACTCTCTAACCGGATTTTATTGTGGTCCTGTTTCCTCTCTCAGTGTCTGGTGGAGGCAGTGTGTATCCTGGACAGTGTGTGTGAGGAGGATGCCTCGCTGGTCTTCCGAACATTCCCGTGCATCAAGGCGCTCTTCGGTCGGCTCAGCTCAGACCTGTCGTTCGCCCGAGTCCTGCTGCCCATAGCTCAGTTCTACCTCAACCATGGTGTGTGTACACTTCTCTGTCTCTGAATCACACATGTACAAAAGCATAAATATGGATTGATGCGTATAGGTTCTTACACACTGACAGTTCAGTAACTTTCTTCACTGAAAGCATTTGAAACGTGTATTTGAACCTATCTAGGCGAGATGGCTGCAGTGGATTGCGAGGGAGTGTGGAAGCTCGTGTTTGGCCGATTCCCTGCCGAGCTGTTTAACGACCACTTCCTGGCACATGAGCTGCTACGCTTCCTTCGACTGAACCTCGAGAGCCTGCAGCTCCGAGTCCCACAGTACACACGCTCCTTCCCAAACCTGCTGAAGGTGAAAATACAGACTAATGTGTACCATACATGTGCCTACTGAAGGCTACTGAGGAGGACACATTGTACTGAGTGAGCTTTGTGCTGTCTGTCTGTCTCTGTAGTTCTTAGCGTGGGACAGCCCAGCAGTGGTGGATGATTTCTTGGATCTGCTGCCCTCTCTGGTGACAGCTGGAACTGCAGTGGAGCTTCTTCACACTCTGCTGGACCTGCCCTGTCTGTCTGCCACGCTGGTTTTACAAGTCAGGTGCGCAAACACATGAGCCAGAGCAAAACTGTTTACAAGACTGATTTGACTATGTTCATTTTTTTTTTTCCATCATCATACGGGGTGTGTGTATGTACGTGTGTATGTGTGTGCTGCAGGTCCACTTGTTTGCCCATCTCTGAGGCTGGCAGCCGTGCCCTCCTGTCACTTGATGCATTTCGAAACCCATCTTTCCGAGGGCTTTTCCTCTTCCTGCTTCGAGGAGAAGCAGGCTCAGGTAATCACAGTCGCACAGTTATATGTATGTATTAAATGTATTAAAATATTAGTCTTACATTTTGCTTTCCTGGTACAAGATGGTAATAAATGATCTTTTATGGTGCTGATTGGCAGAGCTTGTTCCCCTTAGACTGAGCTAGGCTAGCTGTTTACCCCTGTTTATGCTAAGCTAGGCTAACCAATTGCTGGTGTTTTATTGTACAGACACAAGTGTTATCTATCTTCTCATCTAACTATTGGCAAGAAAGCAAATAAGTGTTTTTCCTAAAATACAGAACACTACCCTTGAAAGAATACTTCACCCCCCAAATGATTGTTTGTGTATTAATTACTAAGCGGCAGGTACATTTAGTTATTTTGAAACATAGCTAATTGACTCACTTTTCTTTCTTCCTCTGCAGGTGACACAATCGACCGACTCAGCATGCTCCACGAGCTGCTGGCTGAGACAGCTGATTGGCCGAGAGTTGTTCAGTGTGCCCAGATTGTCCCTGTGCTGTTGCACATTTTTTTCAACACAGTGATCACGGTGAAGAGATTAAAAGTACTTTACAAATTCATCACACCTACAACTGTCAGTTTATATCAATGACATAATGTGTGGGCTTGTTTTGTAGGTCGCTGATGAGAAGCTTTTAGCCCACTTGATCCTGGTGATACTGGAGAGAAGCAGCCTCCTCCTCAACATCCCGAAATACCATAAAGAGATACACAGGTAAACCCAAACACACACACAGTGGAACTAAAGTCTGCTGTATGTCTTCACCCTGACCTCATCACATGCTCCATCCTCTCTCTGTCTCTGCAGGGTGTTCAGCTGCCACCTGCTGAGGTTGTGCAAGCTCCACCCGTCTCTGGTAGTGGACCAGTCTCATGAGATGCTGGAGTTCGCTGGAGCCACGGCCAATGTCTACAGCAAGGAAGAAATCTACACACACGTGGTAATGAAACTGTGTGAGATTTTGGGATGATTCTTTCTCCTCTCTGTGTATTTTGGATCTTGTACAAATCTCAGGCTTTAGTTGAATCTCAGCGTCCTTTCCCGTGTACTGAAATATGGTAAAATATCACGCCAGACACGAAACTGTGCCAACACCTGACACCAAGATAACACTGCTCTTGTTTGGCTTTCAGGTGTGGGTGCTGGGAGAGTACCTCTCTGTGTCATGTGACTCTCGGTGCTCCGTGAGGCTCATCACTTCCTGTTTTGAAGCGCTGGAGGCGGTGCTGTTTGAGATCACCTCATCTGCCCCACCACCTGGAGCGGCTTGCCCTGCTCCCAGAGCTGTCACCACTCTGATGAGCTCTCTGGCTAAGCTGGCGTCACGATCACATGACCTCATACCCAGGTGACGGCCATACACGTATATAAATTAATTTCTTTTTTGGCATGTATACTGTGATGTAATTCTGTGTTTATTCCTGTTTCAGGGTGTCTCTGTTCCTCTCCAAGCTAAGGACGGTAACTAGAGGTGCTCCAGTTGCCTGGTGCTCTGATGAAGAGGACCTTGTTGCCATAGTAACGCGAGGCGAGGAGCTGTGGTCGCTGCTGAAAGCCCCTGGTGTGGCGCAGAGCGTCCTGACCCCACCTCCACATGTCACCACACCCCAGTGGCACAGAGACATCAACGTGGCCATGCCCCTGCGACTGCGGGTGCTCACCAACCTCACACACAGACTTCCACACCACACATCATCATTTTGAATTCGCACTTAGAGATTCTCTCATGAAACGAGCATCTCAATAAATCTTGTGATTTTTGCACCTTATTTTTCTAAATAAATGTGATTGAAACTTGACATTATGAAGCATTTTTTGGAATCTAAACAAAACACACAGACGTCTCTCGGTGTAATATAGTGTCTCTTCTTTAATACAGTGAAAATACAATTTTAGAAAATAGATCATTTGATTTAAAAAAAAAAAAAAGCTCACTTCCTGAGTAAGTGCTCTGTTTTTCTGTTACAACAGAAACAGTTGAACTTCTAGAGGTTAGGGGGAACCTGCAAATGTGATCACACAGTGTTTGAAGTATAAAAATTCAAACTGTAAAAGTAAAAAAAGAAATATAATATGCCTGTGTGTTAAAGGGGAAATCCACCATCTTTTATGTGGCTGTCCAATTAGTGTTGATGGTAAATGTAGTCGATTGAAGCAACAGATTTCTCAGTGCGTGCTGTATTGACAGAGAATGTTGAGCTTGCAGCTGCAGCATGTGTTTTTCTTGGATCCAGCACCATCATTTGACGTCACAGTGACGTAGACGGAGGCAGGAAGAACTACAGCTCATATCAGCTTGTACTTTGCCTCCAGGGGGCGTGCTCTACGTGTCCTGTCTCCTGTCTGTGTGTCCTCACTGACACGTAAACATTCCCTCCTATTTTTCAGTAAATATAATTTACTGCTTAGACTGACTACATTTACCATCAACACTGACTGGATATCCACATATAACGTGGCGCATTGTCCCTTTTAAAGTCTGTCATTCAGAGGAATTCGGGGGAATTCTACTTTATTCAACACTGTTGCTGCTGATAGAAAAGTGCTCAAGGTTAAGAGTGCATCACTGAAACAAAACTGGCAATCATAGTCCTCTAAACAAGATAATCAACGCGCACAGCCTTGACATTCTTACAAATTTAACATCTGACCCAGAGCACAGTTAGCGCTACATTAGCTCTACGTTTTCATCTTTCAAATCATTTTACAGTAACTTAGGAGAGTTGATTTTGAGGCAGATTCAAGACTAACATCAAAACAGAATCACAATCAGGCCAGCTCTACTGAGGCCTCCTCAACAGTCGACATTTTCCTGGAATAAAAGCGGGTCATCGGTCGTCAGTGTGTCATCCTTGAGTCAACCTAAGATGTTTGTTTGTGAAACCAGTGTCAGCAAGTGTGTTGTTTGTAGTGCCAGCTCTACAGTTTCATATTTTGCCGCTGTGCAAAATGGACAAAACTAGAATAAAGTCAGGGTTAGCACCAGTATAAAGGAATGCCTCTGTGGTACATTTTGGCACATCACTTACAGTTGGAATATGGAAAGAGTGGAGTTACTAGTGTAGGGTAGATCAGGAGGTGTAGTCACAGACTGTATAGCGTCAGTTTTGTTATGGAGTTTTGTGATTAACGGAATAGTTTGACAGTTTGTAGGTTTATTTGCTGTCTTGCAGAGAGTTAGATAAGAAAGTTGCGGTGCCCACTAGCTCACCTGGTAGCGCAGGCACCCAATGTACAAATCAAGTCATTCCCACTATCTCTCTCCATTTCACGCTAAATTTGTCCTATAAAATAAAGGCAAAAAATCTTTAAAAAAATAAAGTTGATCCACTCTCATATCCATATGGTAAATATGAAGCTACCACCAGAGGCTGCTAGGCTTAGCTTAGCTTAACTTAGCGTAGCGTAGCATAAAAGCAATGACTTCCTGGAGTGTCTGTTGATTGCCTCACAACATCAAGGTGATGACAAGACTCCAGGAAGTTCCTGTTATCAAGTTACATATTAGAGCGTGCATGAAACTGCAACTTGTCATTTTTAGATCTTAGATTTTTGTAAAAATTAGTTGATGAGGCAGCTTTAAGCCCAGTTCACACCAACGCAGCTAGACGAGACATATCATCTCCAAAGCAACGACACTCTGTACTCCCGTTTTAATATCCAGCTTGTTATGTTTTTGTAGCTGGATATAATACAGTTGCATTTGTAGTGATGAAAAGGCGACAACAAAAACGAGAGGGTTGAGAATTTGGAGCTGTCCATAGGTGTGACAACGGAATCCCAACGGGCATATGCAAACTTATGTCGTGATTAAAGATTAAACAAACGTTCAACTGATAACTGGAATCAAGTAATGTTAACAACACGGAAGATGTGCGCCCTTCCCTTTTTTTGTTCTGTCTCTGTACTGCCGTTCGTCGTCCTTTTCTGATTCTCAGTAATGTTAACTAGATATCAGCGCTGAAAGGCTTCCACGACATGGCGTCACGCGAATGTCTTAAAGTTGAAAAATTCTAACTAGCACAAACTGCATGAATTTCATGTCTTTGTCAGTTGCGTCACCCGGCGCAATTTCAATTTTATTTATAAAGCCCAATATCACAAATTTGGCTCAGAGGGCTTTACAGCATACGACATCCCTCTGTCCTTGGATCCTCACGGTAGACAAGGAAAAACTCCCCCTTCTTCGTAATTTGGTGTAATCACTCCATTAGACAGAGGCAGCAAGCTGTTTCCCCCTGTTTCCAGTCTTTGTGCTAAGCTAAGCTAACTGCCTCCTGGCGTACACACATATGTACACGTATGTAGCATCTAAGTAGCATATATGCTACATATTTAGCACACAGACATGAGAGTGGTTTCAATCTTCTTATCTAACTCTCTGCAGGAAGGTGAATAAGTAAAATAGCAAATTGTGAAACTGTTCATTTAAAGGTGTACTATGCAGGAATTGTCAGTTACAGTTCAAAAACACGCCTGCAAGCAAAAGTGAGAGCTTTGTCCACTTGGTGTTTTCGTCTTTCGATATTTGGGGGTATTTTTTGGCACTGTGCTTGTGATTCTCGTAGTTTCCTCTTGGTTGCCTGCTGCTTATGTTCTGGCACCTGTGTGACAGCGCCACAAAGGTGAGGGGAGACATGTACAGTATTGTTGGAGGGTTTTGAAGCAGAGTAGCCTTCAAATATACTGTCAATGTGTCTTGCAGTGTCTCTATCTTGTTAAGTTAACTTGGTTCAGGTGTGCTGCTGCACACAGGTGAAGGGGTGTGGCCTTTGGGGCACAAACGAGCAGGGAATTGTTTGGGGAGGGTTTTTGGACTTTGCTGAGGAAGAAAGGAGGACGGTGGTGGAGACCGGACAGCCTGGGTTGGAGGAAAAATAAACCTCTTGCTTTTAGTGTTTCCTCGACCGGTTGTTCTTTTCTTGTTTCCACCCTGGTGAGTTTGATTCCTTTTTTGGGGGGGATATTTTTCTTTTTTGCAATGTTTTGCTTTTTTCCTGATTAGCGGAAGTTCCTCTGATTACCTTTTTTCAATTTTTTTTCCTCCTGTATTTTCTTTGGGGAGGGGAATAATATATAAATAAATCATGTTTGAGCCTATTTAAGTTTCCTTTAGTTCGTTCTTCTGCTGGTGTCAGTAGGGAGCTGAGGGCAGGTCCCTAATTTCGTATACCTCGCCTCCAACCAAGTTAAAGTAATCACTGTAGATTTTTAATTTAACTCATAACAAGGCTTTAGAGCTAAGCTGATTGTTAGTTGTTAGATTGCTGGATGATTGCTAATTGCTAGTGGGTCATACATGACATTTGAGGGATTACTTTTGTATGAGTCTACAGATTGCTTTGTTGGAAAATCCTGCATAGTATACTTTTCACTGAACATTCGTCATCTAAAGTTTCTGGCACTTTATATGTTGCCATTTGTGCCAACATCTCCCATGAGGTGATGGAGACACCTCTTACATCATGTGTGATAATAACATGTCTGATACAGCAGAGTTCAGTTGTGTTTTTGCTCATCTTTGATCCAGTCAAACTGAATGTTCCCTGATCAGTCTGTTATATGATTAGCATGTTGAAATGACATGTAGTTACACGATACGAGTGTTTGGTCCGAGTGTTTCTCATCTGACAGTCAGATCATCTCAGCACAATCTGTGTAGCCTCAAGAGTCGGGTTAGTTGCAGTCAAAAACACAGTGGTCTCAGAACACAGGTGATGTCAGCTGAGAGCAGCTAGTCACCTCGACGTCTGCAGCAGCGGCCCAGGTAAGTACAGGTACCTCCAGATGGCGTAGTAATGAATGCATGCTCCCACTGCGACGAAAAGATGCCAGATGGCGTGGGCGAACGGGACGAGGCCATCGCTCTTGAAGAAGACCACGCCCACCACGTAGAAGATGCCTCCTAATGCCAGTTCACACACACCATCACGATCCACCTGCAACAGTTCAAACAATGCAGGTCCTTTGGTCTTTACATGGGATTTGCAGACTATAATACATACACACACACACATATATATATATATATATATATATATATATATATATATATATATATAATGCCAAACTTAAACCTGAGAGGAAGTCAATCATCTGAAGCTGTATATTTGGACAACAGTCTGCTGGTATTGCACAGGAACTCCATGTGATTTGTAGGTAATAGGTTAAAGCAAACAAAACCACCTGTTTGGTTCTTTAAATACTGACAGTGTCTGATTCCCACACAATAGCAGGAAGTCTGCCGCAGCGGAAGAAGGCTTTACATAAGTTTTTTTTCCCCTCAGGAGCAGAGAAAGAAAACTCTTTGTGTTCTGCACTCACCATAGACAGGATGACCAGAGCTGGAACGACCCCCATGGCCACATATCCAAACAGCTCCACCAGCTTGTACCTGCAGGTAGGAAACAGAATATAACACCTCCAATCTTCCATCTAATTGTTTCTGCTTCAAACAGCAGCTCATTGTTTGCTGTAAACACTTCGAGGGGCAGGAGTCTGGTGTCAGGTTGATTGTGTCACACGGGGACACAGGGACACAAAGACAGGCTGTGTTACCTCTCGTGGAAAAAGAAGACATACATGGATCCTACACAAGCCATGACCCATATCAGCCAGCGCATGTGGCACGCCCAGGGCCCCAGCTCCCTCAGCATCAACCTGAGCACACACACACATCGGTACGGTCACTGTTTGTCAACCAGCTACGTTACCCACCAGACTGCATGTGACTTATTGACCCACCAGGGAGAGTAGGACGCAGCTATGAAGAAGTAGATGGCCATTCTGTCACACATGTGGAAACGCTGCTCCACCTTCCTGCACACAGACAAAGAGAGGACGAGCTCATTCGTAAATCATGATAACCTTTATCTAGTTTAAAAGCCAACCCCAGATTCACTCTTATTCAGCATTTGACCTCATCATATTTGAGATTTTTTCGTCACTGTGTCTTTTGGATGTGCTGCTCACAGTCTGGTACCTGGTTGGCACCTTTTTCGGAACCCCCCACCTCACCTGAGCGCCCGAACACATACATGAAATTAAGATTTTTTGCACACAATTAATATTAAAATATACAAGTGTGGCTGAAACCATTATAACAGTCAGTTGATCACAAAATTAATTGGTAAGTATTTTGACAAATTTTAAAAAATTCGTCAAGCAAAAACATTTCACTTTTTTTACTTATTAAATTGATTTAAATGTTTCTGAACTGAGTACTTTACTTTTAATATTTAAATACATTTTCCTGTTTATAATTACAGTTTTAGGTAAATAACATTTTCGATGCATGGCTTTTACCATAGACTGTATAAAGAAAATGGACGTAGCCACTGTAACATCAACCACTGGTTTGTGGACTCCCATTTTGAAGCCTCGGGCTCGGCATTTGGCGCTCGTCATCTTGGGATTTTTTTGCAGCCAGAAGTGACCATATTTAGATGAGAGGGTGGAGCTGTGGAGAAGCGTGGGGTGCACCTGACTCACAGATTGTAGTATCGCTTGTAGGCAGCCGCGCCCCTAAATATGCATAACTTTATGCTTTAAATAAATAAAAAATAAAAATAACTAAAATAAAATGTAAACAGGTGAGTTTTATACAAATTCACCCTCTGTACAGTCGTCATGAATGTTGAAATTAGGGCTGTGAACATGTTAATTTCTGCTGTAAATTTGGCAATTTTAATATTTTTTTTTTTTATATTTTATTTTATTTTTTTTTAATATAACGGGGATTGACTCGCTCTCGGAGCCACCCTCAAGTGGCCATTAGGGGAACTGCAGTTTTTTTGGCACTTCTGCATTGGCTTCATTTTTAAGCCCTGGAAGCTGCTGCTTTATCATTTCAGATACTTATTAATCTCTAAATAGTATAATTAAGTTTTAATGTAATTATATTTTGAAATAAGAGCATGCAGGTTTGGGTGAAACCATTATTTCTTGGTGTTATACAAATCAATTAAGAAAGACCCTTCAACCTGAAACCTAAAATAGTTTGGGATCCAGTGAAATAAAAATAAAAACGATTAGACCACTGAAAGAATTAACAATTATTTTGGCCTGATAACATGTTAGTCTGGATTAGTTGAGCAGCATTTTAAGAGCATGGCTGTGTGAGATTTATTTTATGGTTAAAGTTTTATGGGGTTCATGACAGGAAAGTGGACAAAACTGAATGTGGGAATTCAAAGTTTTTGTTTTTATGTGACAGTGTGTTTGACTGTTAATATGTGAGCGAGCACTTAGTAGAGGGGTACAAGCTGAAGATGATGTGAAATGTTTTCATTACCACGCCACATCTGTTGTTTGCTCTCTGGCCTTCTGGCTCTGTCATAATTAACAAACTGTACGTCTGAGTGTGATGTAAATGTCTACCGGAGCAGCACATAAACACACACATGCACATCTGCCAAATCCCTGCCAGCATTTTCTACAACACACATACACACACACGAACCGGAGGTGGCTGATTTTCCAGGCAGCGGTGTGGAAGAGTGTTGAGGTGACAAACAGGCCTGTGAGACCGCTCCCATAGAGCCAGGCAGCCATGCGATGCCATTGGTCCACAGACAGGAAGTAGAGCACAGACCCGCCCAGCAGACTGGGGAGGATCCACAACTGGAAAAAGATCAGAAACACACAAAACCACAGGTTCACATCTTTGTCTCTTGATACATGCTGACAGGCTGCATCTTACATTTCATTTGAGACCTTTTTTTTTTTTTAATTTTCCAGTTAAGTGTTTAAACTGTATATAAAATAAATCTAGTATTTGCAAACACTAAGAATGTAACCAGGCATTTTACTTGGTAGAGCCTCTTGAGGTAAAATTATACTGTCCTTTGTCTTCCTGACATTGTTAACATTCCTCTGTGAATCCAGGAGAAACAGCTGGAACCTTTGTTCAAGCAACAGTTCAGGAAATACTCAGTGTCTTGCCGAGAGTTCAATGAGAAGATTGATACCAGTCTTGTGTCTGAACGCTAAAGGCCTTCACACACCAGATGTGGCGAAGAAACAACGCAAACATGCTAAATACTCACCACAAACACATCAAAACTATTCATACCAGGATGCAAATTTGTGACATTGCAGCAGGTTCATCATATTTGTGACATGACGATGTTCTGCATAGCATGGCTGATCCTTTATTGCAGTGCGAAAAGTTCAGAAAAATTGTTCTCATTCCAAAAAAATTTAATATATTGGTTTTTGCTGTGTTAAAATACTACAGTTTAAAAATATATATTGCCATTTGAATTAACCACAGGCTAAAAAACACCCCCCACACACAAAGGTGTTTAGTACAAAGGCAAAGCTAGCACTAGCCAGTTAGCTTAGCTTAGCATAAAGACTGGAAAAAGCTAAGCTAGCTTTGTGCAACGCTAACAAATTCCACCTGCCATCTCATGCTCAGAAGTTAACATTTTATGTTTAATCCATACAAAAAAAGGAGCTTAAAAAAAAATCAATTTGCTGTTTTACCACAAGACCTGTTAGCCCAGCACAGAGACTGAAAACAGGGTGAAACCAGAAATATCCCCCTGTAGAACTAGAGAGCCACCATTTTAGACTGCGCATGCACAAGCACCAGACTCTCAGTTGTATGTTGTATGGACGGAGATTGCTAAATACATATTTTAGATTTTTGTTGTAAAAAAATAACGTTAGCCTTGTGTTCACAATTGTTTGTTTAAAGCTGAAATAAAAAAACTTCTCTACTACCTAGCGCACAAGCTCGCTAGCTAACACTGTCTCCTTATCAGTTCCTTAATCATGGATCAATAGAGAATATAGCAACTTTCACCACAGTTCATTTCAAGAGGACCACTCCAAGGAAATGTGTTCTTTGTTTAGATTATCAAATGGATTATCAAACACTTTAAAATGTTGATTAAAGACATTGCCATCTGTCTGTTTTTTATCAACATTTTGGAATCGAAATAGGCAACATTTCAGCTAACTTAGCTAGCCTGCTAGCAGCGCCAGCTAGCGTGCGCGCTAGCGTATTAGCGACGCTAGCTAATGATGGCAGTCAGAAACAAACAACTATGATTCATAGTTTGTTAATTGTGATATGATTTAAACAAATAAGACATTTTTTCGCTGTGGTCCTTTTAAAATGAGCAGTGGTTGAAGTTAATACATTCCATTATGCTCAAGGAGTTGATGCACAGACGCTAGCATAGTTAGCTTGTTGAAATGTTGACTACTCCTAATTGTGAAGTGATTGGCTGAATTAAAATCTGACAGGGGATTGTGGGCCTCTGATTGGCCACATTAAAAAAATGACTGACAGATACCCGCCCTCTTGAGCTCCCGCATCTAAAACAGTGGTTCTGAAACTCGCATATGTGCAAGTCTAAAACGGTGTCTGTGGAATTTGCGCGTGCGCACGTCTGGCTCTGGCACTGTAGGGGGATGACAGTGGGTGAAACAGCTACAGATTTAACTAATATAACATTAATTAGTGAGCTTTTGAGGTGTTAGGCAGATTTTGGTCTTTTGGACAGAGCCAAGCTAGCAGTTTCCCTGCTTCCAGTCTTTATGCTAAGCTAAGCTGTTTCTAGGCTGTAGCTCCATATCTACCACATGAACACAAGCGTGGAATAAATCTTCTCATACAGAAAGTATTAGTAAAAGGTGAAGATGATACTTGATGTTTACGGGACACGCTGCCCTGTGAAATAACCCTTAAGACAGATGAGTGAAAGAATGAATGAATGGAGTTAAGTATCAGAAAACCCTGTCCCGTTTTAAGGATTTAAAGTCATTACGGCCATGTTTCCTCTCTGTTTCCTTCCATGTCTCTCTGTCTGTTTCATTCACTGTCTGCCTTGCTCTGTCGGAGGCGGAAGCGCGCAGGGATTACAGCAGATTAGAGAAAGCTACAGGCTGAATCACAGATTATAGCCTCTATGGCACTGCCAAAAATCCTCCATATTCTGCCTCATTCCTCGCAATCCTCTCCATCTTTGCAGAGGCCTCTCTGAATTCACTGACTCACCCAACACAGAACACACAGTGACAGGGCTTAAAGATATGAGAAATATATGTAATAATTTTGTTGAATGTAGCATTAACAATATTAAGCTTGATAAATAAAAAGATATTAAAGTGTATTAATTTCGTGACTCAGACTTCCTCTGTACCTATATTTACTTGACTTAGGTCTTGAGGATCTGCAGAGTTTATTTAAAACCTGTACATTAACAACCAGTTGACAGCTTTACTGCCACTTTCTTCTTTGCTCTGATCGCTAACAGCTGTCTACTGAGCGCAATCTAACATACATACATGTCTCTCTCTGGATCTCGCAACTGAGCTATTCCTCAAAGCCTTCCATTATAACACAAGTCATTATTCTCAACCCAGTTGTATGGTTTTCACTCAGATGCAGTAGATGTTCTTTTGCATATCTTTGTTTTAGGATTGACCGCCATTTCATGGTCATTATTGCAAAATGAATCCTGGCAGGGTAAAGCAACACCCCACATAAACCCCTTTTAAGGTGATGCAAGACCCTCCACTTCTCGTCAGGGTCTTGCATCACTCTATCGGGGTTCATTTCTCAATAATGTCCCACTCACAATATCCCACTTATTACTTGCGAAGAAAATCAGTAATATGACACAAAATATCAATTTTAAAACGATTACACTGATTTAACAATGATTTTATTGCCTTAGCTTAGCATCTGTGATCAGAACTGTGTCCATGCAACGATCTGCTGTTCAGAAATAACAGGCTGTAGAGTGCCGTAACTGAACAATCAGAGAAGTATTCATGGACAGGATCTGAGGGCGCAGGCGTGGGGAGGAAGAGGTCCGGTTTGGTGACCTCAGAATTGCATCTCTGCTTTTTGCAGATGATGTGGTTCTGTTGGCTTCATCACACCGTGACCTCCAGCAGGCACTGGGGCGGTTTGCTGTCGAATGTGAAGCAGTCGGGATGAGAGTCAGCACCTCTGAGTCTGAGGCCATGGTTCTCTGCAAGAAAATGGTGGATTGCCCCTCTGAGTTGGGAGAGAGTTACTGCTCCAAGTGAAGGAGTTCAGGTATCTCGGGGTCTTGTTCATGAGTGAGGGTAGAATGGAGCGTGAGGTTGATCGGCAGTATGGCACAGCGTCTACAGCGATGCAGGGAGCTGAGCCTTAAGGCAAAGCTTTCAATTTACTGGTCCATCTTCGTCCCAACCCTCACCTATGGTCATGAGCTCTGGATACTGACCGTAAAAATGAGGTCGCAGATACAAGCAGCCGAAATTAGTTTCCTCTGTGGGGTGGCTGGCCTCAACCTTAGAGACAATGTGAGAAGCTCGGAGTAGAGCCGTTGCTCCTTTGTTTCGAAAGGGGTCAGTTGAGGTGGTTCAGGCATCTGATCAGGATGCCGACTGGGCTCCTCCTGTTAGAGGTGATCCAGGAATGTCCAACTAGTGGGAGGTCCCGTGGCAGACCCAGAACATGCTGGAGAGACAATATACCTCGTCTTGCCTGGGAACACCACGGGATCCCCCAGGAGGAGCTGGAAAGTGTTGCTGGGGAGAGGGACGTCTGGAGTGCTTTCAGAGCAGAGCAAAGTTTCACACAGTTGAGCAGACGTTACATTGCTCACTTGCTTGCTCGCTAACTTTTTTGAGCACATCAGGCAACTAGTTGATCGTACTTACTGGACCAGCGTAACTTTTTACTGGTACCAAGCCATCCTATTGTTGTCCGGTTGTCCTGTTGTTGGACCCTGCCTATTGGTGAAGGCTCTGTCTGACTGACCAGAGGATAAAATAGTGCCTACAGACAGAATGTCATTTAATACGCTGTTACTACATTTAAAGTCTTTCGTAGTGTGTTTATCATGCAGGTTGATACTGCAAAGATGGTAAAAAATGACGGTATAATGTGCAGCCCTAACAGGGACAGTCTGGGATAGAAAGAGTGAACCAGAGGAACTCCAGGAGGGCTGAGGAACAGAAAGCTTTTACTCCGACAGTGTGTTTCTGTCTGTCTGTATTTGTTCAGCTCACCCCGTGTGTGGCACAGTTTGCAGCATGTTCGTATTCGGTGGGCTGGTATCTCTTACTGGCTGGAACCCTGCAGTTCATGAACCTGAGAGAGAGGTGAGGTGAGGGGGGGCAGAGACAGAGAGACAGAGAGACAGAGAGGGGAGAGTGAGACAGGTTCAGGTAATGAATGCAGATCTGGAGGCAAAACAAGGTTCAGCTTTATTAGTTAATAAGTTACTGTGTGCTGAAGCCAGTGTGTGTGTGTGTGTGTGTGTGTGTGTGTGTGTGTGTGTGAGATGGTCATTCTTGGAGGATTTACAGGTCTCTAATCCACATCACGTTGTCTGCATTTTAGTGCGCCTCATCGTTACTGGGGCAACTGTCTGCGTTGCTATGGCCACCAGTGATGTCACTGCCTGTACTAAAACAACAGGATACCACTGACCACTAACTCTATTTTGCATTATTTGTTATGTTGCCATAAACTACTGAGGAAGTTACTCTGTGTGTGTGTGTGTGTGTGTGTGTGTGTGTGTGTGTGTGTGTGTGTGTGTTGTGTACGCTATTTAATCAGCAGTAAATCTCTCAATCCCAGCTTACAGGGAAAAACACATCTGGAGATGTTACGAAACCACATTTTATACGACAAGATGCACACACAAACACACACACTCACATAAACAAACACTCACACACACTATTTTGAATGTAGCCTCTCGTGCAGGGCCACAGGTGTGTCTGCGTCGGTCAACTGTGTTATTTGATTACACATTTAGGCCGATGCCTCATCATCACACACTGACATCACGCCTCATTCCCAACACACACACACACACACATCCCGTAACTGTTTGTTGTACTAATTCAGCACAGTGAGGAGAAAGTGAATCAGGAAAAGACGCAGATAAAGGGATCCTGTCTCTTGTCTCAACCTTCACCTATAAAACACCCAGAAACCCAAAACATGTCTGTTAATGTAGCTGGGAAAAGTCTTGCATAACACAACGACCGGACATCTGGCGAAAGTAATTTCAGAGTCCAAACCATGCTCGGGTGGTATCAAGGTATTAGGGTATACCAAAGTATTTAGAAATACAAAAGGTTTAATTTTCATTTCAACAACTCTCTGCAAACCTCAACCTGCCAAATATCCATTTTTTTCAGGTATTTGCAAATCAGATATTTCCTTCACTCTCAGATACCAAGCTTCCCTGAGACACCTGATATGACCACTGCTCATATTACTCTTTGCCTAAACGTGTCACACAAGCATTTAAAATCCACCATCTCTGACAAGTTAGCGGAGATCAGACACGCCCCTCTTGACAAAAACAAGATTTAAACACATCATCATCTAGTCAATAACATGTCGGGCAGGAAATCCAAAGTGTGGGATCATTTTGAGAAGGTGAAGGACGAACCCAAGGTGATATGTAAACTCATCTTCATTGGTCGACTACAAACATGACGTATCATCTGAAACATGGAAGTAGCTACATGCCCATTAGCCCACAGCGTCATTAACAGGCGGCTAGCTCAGTGTGTGACGTGCACTTGTAGATAAATATAGGCCTATATTAATGAAGGTTCATTAGTACGGTTTTGTATTTCTCTGTAATGTAGCGTGAAAGAGTGACTTCTGTATTAACCCTTTGAAAGTTATCAGAGGTTACATATTTGGGGAAATCACAAGATAACTCTTATCATGTCTTGATCACCAACATTAGCTTTTCAAAAGCTGTCACGTGAATGTGGTCGTCTTACTTTCCATTTCAGCGTGAGATGAGTGTGAGTGTGTGTGTGTGTGTGTGTGTGTGTGTGTGTGTGTTTGTGCACTCACCACCAGAACCCTCATAACAAGAATGTCAGTGTGTTTTCCTGTGGTAGGTCAAGCTGTTATGAGTGTTACGAGGCATCAGGGCTGCACAGAACACATCTGACTTTCACACACAACCTCCATAAACACCGCATCTCTTTTTTATTTGCTAACTAACACTAACATAGCAAAGTTATTACGCCTGTTTTTATTCATCTTTGCCAAGACGCAAGTCCATATGAGCGGCCCCACACAGGTCAGCTGCACACACAGGTGTTTCAGTTTGGGAACTATGGAGATTTGGAGCCCTGACTTCTGCCAGGAGGTTCGGGGATCCTCCTCTCTCCCACCCTTTTTCTTCATAAGGTGTATTTTGATGTTTTTTTATACACTGTGCCACCTTATTCACATTCAAAGTACAAATAAATGCCAGTATGAATCAGTTTATTTTCATTGTGAATTAGAAATGAAGCTCGAGCAAAAGTTCAGTCACGCTCCATCTGTGGCTGTCAGTGTTTGGGGCTGTCAATCAAGGCTTCACCTGTTCTACAGCTGATCCACAATCAACCAATTGCGCAGCGACACACCTTCTCCGTCAGACTATCATCTCACTGCTCCTCATTTTAAATATGGTCCACCTAGTCTTCTCCAATGCAGCCTCTATTTGCCTCAGCGGTCATCAACCAAAGTCATCAACCACCACCATCTCCACCAGTGTCTGGACTCCATCGGGGGGTTTATCTTGCTGCCGAATAGATGTCCCAAAATCACAAATAATCTCCTCTGGTGTCCAAAAGACTTTTGCTAAATCTTATCTGCACAAATCATCTGTTAGTCTGTACACTTATATTTCACATTAAACTTCATTCTTCTGTCTCTCCTGATTGAAACAGGTTGGCGAGCCCCCTGCACTGAGATCTGGCCCACAGGCTGAGTATCACTGCTCTGGACTTTTCTAGACTTAGGATTACTTGCTACGTGTGAATGTTTGCATGATTGTGTCACATGCTCTCTTTCTCGAGATGCAATCCACAGAAAGAAAACACTTAGTAACATTAGATTATTGTATGGCCGCCATGCCTTTAGTTTCCCCTGCAGTTCCACCGACAGTTCGTGCCAAGTGCATAACAAGAGAGCAGTATTTTTCTGAGCACTGTTGTGGTATTGTAGGGCTATCAATGGACCTGAATGTAGCACTCTGATGTCTTCTAATCGGTTATGACAGAACTCTGTGTGACTGTGTGTGTGTGTGTGTGTGTGTGTGTGTGTGTGTGTGTGTGTGTGTAATGAACTGATGAAAGGACGGGATAGGGATTCACAGGCTCTGATCAGAGCGGGCATTGTTGTCCTCATCAGCATACTATTCTCTCCTTTCTCTCTTTCATGTTTTCAGATTGTTTCGTTCCATACACTTTTCTGCACGTGTGTGTCATATGGTTCGATGTATGTTTGCATGTGTGTGTGTGTGTGTGTGTGTGTGGCTTGTTTTCACCTCACAACACCAGTGTTTGGTTACAAAAGCCCATTACAGCACATTCCATACATTAATAGGATTGGTTGCATCTGAGAGGATCAGAACCTTTGGGTCATTGCATGATAGCATACGCGATAGGAATGTGTGTGTGTGTGTGTGTGTGTGTGTGTGTGTGTGTGTGTGTGTGTTCGTGTATACACTCTCTGTAACTGCAGGGCTTTTCCTTTTACAGTAAAGCTCAAGTTCATCTCCTCGGGGACTCAAACTCTGGTTCTCACGATTATCGCCATCTCCCACACACACACACACACACACACACACACACACACACACACACAGAGTCCTGGATGGCAGAAAGACGGACAGGAAGTAGAGCTGTCAACTATAAAAGTAATCGCTGACTGATTTGATAATCAATAGTAGTACAGTAATTTTTTTAAAAAGTAAACAAGCCAAAATTATCTGATTTCAGCTTCTTAAAGAAACAGTGTGTAAGATTTAGGGGGATTTAGTCGTGAGGATTGCAGATTACAACGAGCTGAAACGTCTCCTGGTTAGAATTCCCTTCGCGTTTATCAATCAGGAGCCGAATTATCCTCTCCGAAACAAATGGAGCAGGTGATTTAAACCAATAAACAACACTAAATAAAGCGGTTTCACATTAAATATCAGTGTATCTCTGACACTGTTTGGCACGTCACAGACAGGCTGCTCACCTAGCACCTGCTAATGTGCTCACCCTATCCAGATGTTCATGAGGTTTTAACCGGAAGCCAGATTATCTGCAGAGGCCTCTTCCTTCCTCTCCAGAACAAACAGAATTGGTGATTTAAAGCTGTAAAGCGGTTTCACGTTAAAAAAATCTGTGTTTTCCAGCACTGCTCATCTCAGAGGTACCAACACTAAAATGCAAATGACTCTATCTGGAGCCACTGTTTGATTTGTCTGCTCTGAGCTCTCATTTATAAAACAATGCATAGGATCCATACTTAAAATGTACATACTGACAAGAGCCAAAAATGGTGTGCACCAAAAAATATTCAATTCAATATTCAATTTCCCATCTCCAAAATGTTCCTAAGCATGAGTCAAAGTTTCTCCCATCAAGTCTGTTTTCATAGATGTCAACTTTTGCATGGGAAGTGGCATACGCCTCTTTCAGGCCTCCTTTTGTACATACACAATGTTTATAAATGAGACTCCTGGGCTACTGTAGAAACATGGTGATGCAACATGACGATCTCCAGAGACAAGGACCCATTCCTTATGTAGATATAGAAACATACTTATTCTATTGCATTAAATTTCTGTCCATATAATCCCCCTAAATCTGACACACTGGACCTTTGCATGTGAGTGTTTTCTGGTTTCTTTACGACCGTAAACTGAATATCTTTGGGTTGCGGACAAAACAAGACATTTCAGGACGTCATCTTGGGCTTTGGGAAACACTGATCACGTTTTTACACTATTTTCTGGCATTTTATAGACTAATTTATAAATCAAGAAAATAATTGGCAGAGTAATTGACAGTGAAAATTATTGTTAGTTGCAGCCCGAGTGGGAAAACAGATGGAGAAGCACCTTGGTGCAAGATATAGTGATTCTAATGAGGGCTGCTTGTGCATTAACACATTGTTAAAGACTACGATATCACTCAGGGATTATCTGAGTCAGTTGAAACAGAGTATCAGTAGAAAACTGCACTTTGAATTAGGGCTGCTAAACATGCAAAAAAAGCTATATTGACTATATTTATCCACTGAAAAATGTATAAAATGATGATAGTGTGATTTTTGCTGGGTTCTGTACCACACAAGCATGTTCCCTTGTATCTAGAGTATGTTCTGTAGGCTGGAGCACCTGTTGCACCACAGTGCTTCATTTATGAAAGTATGTTGCAACACATTATACTGTTATCAAAAAATATGCAGCTCCTGTGATCTAGACATTGCACCTGCATATTGCAATTCAATAATATTTCAATTAATTGCGCAGCTCTACCTTAAAGGTCCAGTGTGGCAGAAATGGAATATAATATAATAGTGTATGATCACCTTAAAAATAAGAATTGTGTTTTTGTTACCTTAGAATGAGGCTTTTAGCTTTACGTAAAACTACTTTATTTAGTGTTTTTACTGGTTTAGATCTGTGGGTTTGTTTGTTTTGGAGAGGAAGAGACCTCCTCAGATAATTCAGCTCCTGGTTAAAACCTCCGAAATGTCTGGATCAGAAAAACATCCCGAACAGCAAAGGAGAAACACTAATTTGTGACATGAACCTGCTGTGTTCAGTGTTTTTAATCACCTGGTCCATTTATTTTGGAGGAGAAAAAAACCTCTGTGGATAATTCAGCTCCTGGTAAAAACCTCTTGAGCAATGAACACAGAGGGAATCCTAACCAGGAGAAGTTTCAGCTGGTTGCAAACTGCAAACCTCACTGCTAGATGCCACTAAATCCCCTTAAAACCTTCCTACTGTTCCTTTAAAATGTTTTTATTGGTGCCTTCTGTGTTCACTTCAATGTGCAGTTTGTCCAACAAGATAATACTGTGAATAATTTATTTTAGTTTGTTGTATTTTATTGTAATCTTTCAAGTAACATGTTTTCACTTTCCTCATATCTTGCAGACCTTATTCTGCTGGTTAAACTGACAATAAAATTGTTATCATGCTCCTCTCAGCTTGTTTGGGTACTTCACTAGTAATGAAAGTAATGGTCTTCACACACACACACACACACACACACACACACACACACACACACTAATCTATAACATCCCTCTGTTTGTCGCTGTGCCAGCGCGTCAGTGCGCATGGATGCACAGGATGTGTCACACATGAAAAACACGCTGCCAGTCAGATATCAGCTCTCAAACTTTCCTGAGATAATGAAAAAAATTACCTCCCAAATTTTGTTTTCTTAAAGTCCATCTCGTGCGTGTAGGCTCTGTGCGCGCGCGCGCGCGTTGGTGCGCTCTATTTACCAACAGCACACACACACAGCAGCGAGCGTCGTCTCCTCCTACGGATCCCCCATTCCGGATGTCCCACCGCCGCGCGTCTGAACACACACACACCAGTCCGACAGCGGGGACATCGACCTGCAGAGTCAACTACACAACAACAACTCCACGGCTCTGTCTAAAGTGTGGGGACTCCTCCGGTGGGCAAACTAGCAGCCATCCCGGCGGCGGGAGCTCGGAGGAGACGTGAGCCGCAGCCAGCAGCAGCGTGAGAGGAAACTGTGCAGAGTTTTGTTCCGAGTCTTAGATGTGTTTGCAGGATGTTCCGCGGGACTGGGTTTGTAACCCCTCCTCTCCTCTCCTCCCCTCCCCTTTCCCCTATCCAGGCTGATGATAACACAGCAGCAAACACAAACCGCTCCCCACAACACACACACATACACACACACACACACACACACACACA